GGTATAAGGTGACAGAGAGAGAGAGGAGGAGGAAGATAATAGATATGTAATCGAAATTAGAGAGGGAAAGGAGAGATAGGTAGATGTTTATATCTATCTTTATTAAGATCCATATGGGAAAGGTGACGGGGTAAGAGACCAGACATACTGACCTATTTATCAAGTCTTTTCACAGGAAAATAAGAGGAAATTAGACAAAGAAAACAAGGTGAGATAAAACAGAATAAAAAGCAAATAGGGAAATTTGAAATCTAAATTTTTACTAGATTTGATTGTAGGAATAAACAACATCTCACCTTATTAGAAGTCCTATCAGGATTTATTATTGGCGTTCACAATCTTAACAGCATAATATATGCAGATAACACAGTGTTGATAGCAGATATGGAAAAGAAACGACAAAAGTTCCTACAGAAGGTAGTGGAGGGAAGCGAGAAGAAAGGACTAAGCACAAAAAACAAGAAGACAGAATGCATGGTTATCAACAAAAGGATGAACCCAAAATGCAAATTACAAATCGGGAACACTAAAATTAAACAAGTGCAAAAATGTAAATATCTGGGAAGTGTTCTAATAGAGGACGGAAAGTGCGACACTGAGATCGGAAGACGTATTGGGATATCCAAAGATGCATTCCAAAAGCTAAGCAAAGTATTAAGAGACAGAAAAATTTCATTAGAAACAAAGAAAAGATTACTGAACTGTTACGTGGTATCTGTCTTTCTGTATGGCAGCAAATGCCGGACAATCTCCTCAAAGAGACTTGAAGCAACAGAAATGGTTCTACAGAAGGATGCTGAGAACACCATGGACCGAACACGACGAGGTTTTGGAGAAAATGGAAACAAAAAGGAAACTTTTACTTAACATCAGGAAGAGACAGTTGAAAGGTCTACGGCACGTAATGAGAAAAGAGGGCTTGGAAAATCTGATACTCACAGGACAGATTGAGGGAAAGAGGGACAGAAGAAAGCTGCGTGTAACATGCTTAATGGGCTTGAGCAAATGGATGACAGAACACGGTTTGGGGAAATAACAAAAAGACAAAACTTATTAGGATTTACAAGAAACAGGAAGATGTGGAGGACCATGATCGCCTACGCCCTGAAGCGATTCGGCACATAAATTAAACAGAACCTCGAATTATGTTTTTGTAAATTAACAGACATCGTAGTTAACTTTTTTGGTTCCCTAGTAGTTACTACTGTTCGTGCTGCAATTGTAAATTTAAATTTTAATATTCCTGTGGCGGGAAAAAAAATCAGGAAAACGTGATAAAAGAAAAAAATAGGGTAATGTTTATTTCAGGCTCTACTTGGTTGAGTTAACTTGACAGACATAAAGTTAATGTCTAGTTTAGCATATAAATTGCATTTTAAATCGGACCATCTTTTAGAAAAATTCCAAGAATTGAAATTTTTTAAAAGTGGTCGCCATAATCTCCTTATTGACCAGAGAATATTTAGTGGCCAGTAGAAGTTACGTTTATACCTAGTTGTTTCAAAAGTAAAACAATGTGACCTTATTGACAAAGTAGTACTCTTAAATTCATGGAATAGATAACATTAGAACAATTGCCGTGGAAATGTTTATAGAAAAGGCAGAGGGAAGCCACTTCATGCTGGTGGGAAAGGGACTGAAGTCCCGATACCAGATCAGGAGCAATAACATTACAGACAACCTCTTCGTATTTTGTTGAGAATATGTAGAAGCATCACCGGACCAGATATGGCAACAGTATTCAGTACCAGGAAAAATGGTAGATTTATAAATGTACAAAATTTTGACGAGAAAAATTGGCACGATGAAAGTGAACAAAATTTCCTAGTAGCCGATTTAGCAATTGATTTAATACAATCACTCCAATTCATGTCAGTGGAAAACGTGAGACCAAAAAGACGCAAATGAATTGCTTTCCTGGAGGTTAACCATCAACCATGCCGATGGAAGGCAAAAAAGATCCTCAATGAGGATTAAAAGAGAGGCGTTTTGGAGGCGTTAAAGGTCACAAGCCATTTCTTGCCCCAGTTAACTATTGATCGGGGTGGGATGCATGTTCGATGGCAGTTTTCAGTTATACATTGTTGTACCTATCCGACTTATTAAGACAGGTGTAAATATAGATGTGTATTCAACATAAATATTTAGTTGGGAAGTAATTTTTTTGTAGAAGTTGTGAGCGACTGATACTAGATTTTAAACGACATGAATAGTAAATTCAATTCTTCCTTCCATATCGCAAGTCTTGTCAGGGAGAGGAATGAAAAAGCTGGTTAACAATTTTCGAGTTCGCTCAAAGAAGTCTTGATATCATCATCATCATCATCATCCCCTTGACTTTTGTAATCGTAGGGTGTATCTGAATGCAGAAGCCATATTGAAAATCCTCCACAGCGGTCTATCAACGTCATCCATCAGCAATTCTGGTATAGTCCTACCTGTCCATTGTTTGATATTGTCCAACCAGTTTTTGTGTTGACGTCCTCTCCTACGTCCATCTTCAACGGTGTTTTGCATGATGGTCTTGTGTAGGCTTTCGCGCCTTGTAACTACGCCATTTTTCTCCGTTTGACAGTGGTGAGAAGAGGTTTCTGGTGGCCCACAAGACTTTCAATCCTTTTCCGCACAAACTCAATGGTTTTAAGTTCCCAATAGAAAATACCAAGATGTTTTCTTATGCATTTGTCCTCAAACGCTTGGATTCTTCTCTCTGTTTCTGCCAACAGTGTCCACGTTTCACATCCAAATATAGGAGAATGAAGACTACCAGCAATTTGTAGAGTCTGTACTTTATTTGAAAGCTGATTTTGCTCTTCTATATTCTTGTCAATTTTCTTATACCCGCGGCTATAATAACCGGGAAACAAGAAAATCACCCAAGTTTCTTTAGTAGACAAAAGAAACTTTATTTTAGTTTAGTATTTTGGTCAGTGGGCTAAAAGGGTAAAAACAAAGGCTTAATGGCGAAGTTAAAATTAATTCAAAGTATCTTCACTCAGGAGTTGTTAGGTTTGTAGATGCCCCATGAAATAGTTCTAAATCAGATAACTCGGTTAATTATGGCGCCAACTAACGAAAGCCCGGATGGAGATTCCCACTTGTCGGTTAAAATATAAGTGATCCAGATGTTGGAGACGTTTAATCAGTAAAAGCAGAATCTCTTAACAACTGGTGCTACAGAAAGAAAACGATAACACAATTCGGTATTTAATCTCTTTCGAAGTAGTTCCCTTCCAAAGCCATACACTTTATCCAGCGTCCTTTCAATTGATGGAAGCATTCCTGAAACTCCTTTTTTGGTATCGCGAATACCAAAAAAGGAGTTCCAGGTATGACTCGTTGTATTCTCCTTGATTTCCTCAACGTCTTGAAATCTTGTTTCTTTCAAATGGGATTTGTTTTTTTTTAAGAGGAAAATATTCGCAATGCATGATATCTGGGTAATATGATGGTTGTCGGACCTAAGGAATGTTGTGTTGACCAAAAACTACTGCTGAAGCCATGGTATACGGATGGAAACTCTGTAGTGTGGTGAGACGACCCTATTTTACACAATTTCTTTCTAAGCACTATAAACAACAAAAGTGAGCGAGAACCTTATAACTTAATGCGCATGAGCGACAAAGTTAATCTGTGTCAAGGGGCTTCACTCCGCATGCCTTATCTTTTTGATCAGACCTCGTATTCTTCCATTTCTCCTCTGCTAAGCTTGACACTGTTCCTCATGAATTAAGTTTAGGCAGCTTGTCTGTTCTCAGAGTTATAAAGGAAATTATGTGTCCTGTTGGTTATTTCAGGTTCAGAGAGGTGAAACAGTGACGATGTTGGTGACTGCACAGCTGGAGGAATGACGTTGTCCAGGGGGGCTACGTCTGATGGTACTTGTGACGCAGGTGTCTACCTTAATTACGTAGGCCAAATAGATGTTTGAACGCGAAGCTAGTAAGTGAAAACATTGACGACCTCTTCTAACCAAAGTAGGTTGTGTCTAGCACTTTGTGGATGATGGTAATCTTATGGTGATCGGATAGAAAATTGACCGTAGGTGGGTTAGATCTTGTGACTGGTGACTGACAATAATAGAAGTCATATTCTATATGCTGACAAGAACAAGAAATTGCTATTTCTTTTTTCTTCTTTACGACATTCTTTTGTGTCTTTTCTATTATTCTTTCGCAGACCTCATCTTCCAAAATTTCCTTCAAATGAATTCCTTCATCATTTACTTTCTTATTTGTCTCTCTTTTCTCTTCCACCATTTTTTTTTCATTTTAAGATTTCTAATTCATTTTACTACGTTTCCATTCTCTTTCCTTTTCTTTCTAATTGTTTTCAACATATTTTCCATTCTTTTCGCTTTATTTTTAAAATTATCGTTTATCTTTCAATTTTATTTATTTCCCGCCATTTCCAAGGTCTTTGTTCGCCATTACTGTCTGCTCCATCTTTCCAATAACTATTTAGTCAGACTCATATTTCTTCTTAGCATCATCACGTTTCGTCCGTTGGGATCTTCGGCCTTATTCTGGCGTCTCTCGATCTGATAACATTCAGGGAAATTCAAATTAAAACCATTATTCGGTCTTCGGGTGCAGATTGTTCTCCTTCCGCTGTCTAGGGATTGTGTCAGGCTGTTATGAGTCATAATTAATACACGCTTGGGCGATCATGTATCCATCGATACATGATCAGTCATGCAATTTTTTTCCCGCATTAGGTTGCCATTTCTTCCTGCAGTAGGCTAGTTGCGAACCAAGGCTAAAGAACACAGTCACTCCTGCTATTCAACCCATAGAAAGGAAGAGATAGATTCCTACTTAAACCAAGGGTATTTGTGTGAAAGTGACTTTAACGAACTCGACTGGAATTCGAACTTGGCTTTCCCAGTTCTCAATCCGAGTCGATATCTATTACACCAAAAGGCCTTTTGCCATATTTGGTCTGGTGCACCACCTGTTCATCCCGAGGTTCTCGACAAAATCCAAAGGATCTGCAATGTAATCGATCCTGATTTGGCATCTCGGCTCCAGTCGCTTTCTCACAGACGCGATGTGACTTCCCTCTTTTCTATAAATATTTCCATGTCTACAGTTCTGTTGAGCTTTTTTTCCCTGGTGCCGCGACTACATAAATTTAAGCGTGCTACTAGACTGACATCTAGGTCGCACCTTTTTGCCATTGAAATGGTTAGATGTAACCGCTACTTATACCTCAGCAGCTTATTTTCTAGCGCTTCTCGCCTGTGGAACTCCCTTCCGTTTACTTGCGTCCCTGATAACAAAAATCTTCAAACATTTAAATGCAACGTCAATTTCCATCTTCTGTTATCTTGAACCGCGTTCATCTTTTATCCTTCCCTCATCCTCTCTATACACATTTTTCCCTCACCTTCACTCTATATAACACACCTACAGACGATATTTGGTATGTCCCCATTCATATAAGTACAATAGTAACTACTGCATGTTAGTCTGCAGACGGAGATTCCTCTGCCTCTGGATAGAGAGGATTCTCAGACGAGGCTATATCGAAGGGCAGAATCTTGTCTCAGGAAAGAGCTATCCTACGGGGATTTTTTGGCCAAGCCTACGGGCTCGGATACCTCACATTAAATTCTGCCTTGTGCCACATCTGACTACGTGGGGCGGTTGGTAGATATCTTGCAGTTGGAGATTCATTGTGGAATTCACTTGACTCACTTCTAGCAGTTGACTACTACTTCTACGTGCCGCTGGCAAATCTTATATGTGTTGTTCTTGTCCTAAGTATTATCGTTCATTACCAACCTTCCTTTCATTGTACTATTCAGTAAACCTTCCCTAGGTTACAACTCTAACCTAGAACTTAACCTCTGGAGTTAGAACTTAAAACTGACGTTATTGCCTACTCTGACGCTACTGTAGACTGGGTATCAAATTCAGTCCCCTTTGCTGCTTAGCTTGTTTTTTGAATTGTCTTCTTTTTGCCCTACTCAGTTGCTGATAGTTCTAGTGTTCATTGTTTGTTCTCGTTCCCTTCTGTTCTTTCTTGATTCACCTCTTATTGTCTTTATCTTATCGTTTTCTTTCTCCTCGGTTATTTTGTTTCGTAATAACTCTTTTCTACTTTTTTGTAGTCCATTTTCTCCCATATTTGTTTCGTCTCGTTTCTGACATGTTGCTTTGTTTTCTTTGTGCTTCTTCTCTTCTTTTCTCTCTCTCTTAGAGGTGTTCGATATTTTCTTCTTTTTTTAACTTGTTTAACCTTTCTTACTCTCATTTCTATTTCCCAATAGTTCTTTTTCGTTCTCTTTCTGGTTTTTATATTATCATCATTATCTTATTGCCTTTTATTCTGCCTCCTTTTCCAAAATCAGCTCATTCGTAATTTTTTCTTCTTTCGTTTTGTTTATTCATCTCTCTTTCCTTTGCAGTTTTTTCAGTCTTTCTTTTCATCTTTCATCGCTTTCATTATCTTTACGCGTCTTTCTTGGTTACAGCTGCTTAGTCATTCCTTCGTTATTGTCGTCTGCCTCGCTTTCATAATAATGTTCCCTATTATTTTCTTTCTTTTTTCATTCTATTTACATTCAAACATCTATTGCACAAGTCCCTTCTTTCTATTTCCTTCTTTCCATTCTCTCAACTAATTATTTATTCCCTTTCGTTTCACCGTAGTATTGGTTCTTGATTGTTTTTCTTCCTGCCTCGTCGTTGTTGTTGTTGTCGTTGTCGTTGTCGTTGTTGTTGTTGTTGTTGTTCTTCTTCTTCTTCTTCTTCTTCTTCTATTTATTTTTATTTTTTAATTTCTGAATTCCATATTTTCTTCTTCTTCCACCTCCACCTCCTCCTCCTCTTATAGTCCTTTATTTTGTATTTCCTCATTTCTGAATTGTGTATTTTCTTCTTCTTCTTCTTCTTCTTCTTCTATTTATTTTTATTTTTTAATTTCTGAATTCCATATTTTCTTCTTCTTCCACCTCCACCTCCTCCTCCTCTTATAGTCCTTTATTTTGTATTTCCTCATTTCTGAATTGTGTATTTTCTTCTTCTTCTTTTCTTCTTCTTCTCGTCTTATATTTCTACATGTTCTACTACCGCTTCTTGCTCTTTTTCTTGCTTTTCTGAGTTAAATTTCTTTTTTTTTATTACTATTTCGCATATTTCCTTATATTCAAATCATATGACTTCTTTTTCTTCTTTTCTTCCTTTTTAAGTAGGATTTGTCTTTTAAAATCTTTCTTTACTTCATTTCTCTTTTGTATATTTTTCTCTTTTCAATTTTGCATTTCTTCTTCTTCTTCCCCTTTTCTTCTACTTCTTCTGTCAATCGTATTTTTTTTCACTTACTTTTTTATTTCTACATTTTTTCCTTTTCTGATTTATATTTTGTTCCTCCTTCTCCTCCTCCTCTTCATCCTCCTCCTCATTCTTCTTCATTTTCTTCAAGTTTTACTCTACGTCTTTCTTCCCTGTTGAGCCTTGGGAACAACAGGACATTTTTCAAAAACGGCGGAAAGACTCCCAGCAGTATCCGTCAATCAAACGTCACTGTCTTGCTGAGCTTTCGCTTCATTTTCTATCCACAGTCGCCAGGTGGCGCCCCTAAATCGTCAGAAATTCAACCTCCTTGTCCACCTCCACATTTTTCGCCCTTCTGTCAATTCCACGAGCCAAAAGTCAGTTATCTCTTGCAAGAGCCAGTTTCCGCAGGCAGCAGCGCGGGTTGGATGGATATTACTTACAAGAGAGATCCTGATCCTCGAAAGAAATGGAAGACAGGGTGGAACGGGTGGGCTGGTTTCACAAGAATTTCCGGAGAAAACGGAGACGTCGACTATGACGTTTATTTAGATTGATGTAACTTCCGATTCTGATTGCTGGCAATTGTTTTTGTCTTATTATCCAGTGTGATTTTTACCAATGTTGGAAAAAGAATTTTAGGAATTAAGTACAATGTGGCCTTATAAGTAAAAACAACGTCTGGGTAAAGGGTTTGCCAGGCAAAACAGGGATAGTAAGCTCAATTCTTGCTAACAGCACCCGAGTCTTTGTTTTCAGGCTAAATTAAAATTGAACAGGTTACTTATAATAGAAAAAGCGGTGTATAGTTCAAATTTCAGTCTTGTAGCGTTCATCCTCGCATAAATGCCCTTTGAAAATGACATCTCTTCTTCTCCTCAGCATAGTAAATTAGGATTGGGTGGCAACCAGTCTATTTGAAGAGAAACTCCAAATTGCAAGAAGCCAGCTTATCGAGATTTTTTCAAGTTATTTGTAGCCAGGGCATATTTTTAGATTCTAAGAATTTTTTCGGAGATAATAATGATTTACTGATACAAATCCTGTATTTAACCCATATCCTTGGGGCTAAGAAGTGGCTTCATACCTTTCCAAACAAAATTCGCGCGTAAGTGAATATAACGAACTACCCTTGAATTAGAACTCGGCTCTTCGATTTCCAATTCCGAGCCGTTATTCATTAAACCACCCGCACATCCAAGCTTACAGCACCTGTTATTTCGAAGCGTTCACCCATGTAGGTACAGACCAGACTCAACGTTGCTTAACAGAGAGAGAGAGAGAGAGAGAGAGAGAGAGAGAGAGAGAGAGAGAGTGAGAGAGAGAGAATTCCATTTGTAGTTGACACAGTGCTTTCTGAATATCTTTTTAGTACATTTATTGAAAAGAAACAGCCTGCATTCTGACGAAGAAAAAGGCAGGCAATTCGAACAAGTAAAAAGAGAAATAACATGGCAATACTTTTTTTTTCACAGGATGTATTTGACCAAAACCGCAAGAACCTGGTCCTTCCAAGCGGTTACTCATTATGAAAAAAAGGATGGGCGGTATTGTTCAGTTATTTTTTTTTATTTGAAATACAAATACAAACTTACCAATATTTCCATCTGTTTAAAACTTGAATAATATTTAACATTTTAATGATGATAATTTCTTCTTGCATGTGTACGTGACGAATTCTCTTTCAGAATATGACATAATTTGAGATATTAATTTTATAAAATGATGCGCCAAATACTTAGAGAGAGCTACGGAAGAACTTGAATTTCCTCCCTCACCTGAATAAAGACGGCTATATAGCACAAAATGGCGTTTATGAGTTTCCGGTGTAATGGATAAATGGCTCGGAATGCGAAAATAAAGTCGAGTTTCTTACATTCACTTACGCGCAAATACCATTGGGAAAGGTACGAATCCATAGCTATGTGTTGAATAGCGACACAGACTGTGCCCTAGAGACTTTGTTGGCAATCAGTCAACTGTAGAAAGAAACGGCAGCCTACTGCTGGAATGCCTTTTACCTAATCTGTCATAGCTCGAAAGAGACATAATCACACTATCGTGTATCATGTATGGCATTTGACTGACTTTAGTTTTAGATTTATTCATGAAAGAGGCTTTTAAGATAAGCTGGTGTAATTTGACGTACTTATGAGATGAAAGTCAGTTCGAAATTCAGTAGCGCTGAGCCTTCAGCAGTAATCCATTTCGTGAAAATTTATTTAAAAAATGAGGTCGATAAAATTTGGTCACAATATTTATGGGGTGTGTCAAAAACTCAAAAGGTAAGTAGGAAATATATAATATATACTACAATTCATATGTTTGGTAATTTTGTAAATTGGCCCCAAAAATGCTTGTCTTTCTTTAAATAAAAGAAAATTGTTATACATGGTTGAAAAAAAAAAGGTAAGACATTATTTTTTTATTAGAAATTTTACTATGAAAAAAAGAAAAAAAAATGGATTTTATGATTAAATTTTTCTCTCGTCAAAATGTCCTCCTTTAGCCTTGATTAATGCAGCACACATTTCTGACATCCGTTGCAAAAGTTTCACAAAGTAAAAATTTGATAATAATTTTTATCTTTTGTCAGTGACTCTAACAGCTGTTTTTCATTTTTTTTTCACTTTTCTGTCAAGTTCATCCCATGCTAATTTTGAGTCTGGCTTCAAACTTTTGAATTTTTGTGTATATTTCTAAGAGCAAAATTTTTTATGCATTTTTATTGGTCAAACTGGTTAAACATTCATAAGAGCTTCATTCTTTAGTTCCACTAGTTCAGACATTTTAGGCCTAGACACAACATACTGCTTTCACGGAGTCGAATCAACCTCATTTCCTCCGTATTCCAAATGTTAGGAGAAAGTTCTCCTCATTGGAATTGATACTGTGTGGAACAGACACCCGCATGGAAGTTTCTCTGAACACTATAATCTTAACCTCCTAAAGTCAACATAAATCTAAATTTCTGAGATGAGGTATTGTGACTATTTAGACTATTTACATTGTCCTAATCTTTATTGCCATATTCACAACGTTTCGGCCGTTGTACTTTCCGGTCTTCTTCAGATGGAATTTAGAGCTGAACTTAGCTGAATTTAGTCCACGGGGTAGATTGTTTTAATTTCACTTGCCACGTTTTTTTTCTTTATTTTATTGAGTAGTTTCCAATTTGACACGGTTTTGAGTTGACGCTTGTCTTCAAGGTCAAGTATCAATCTTTATATATCCTCCTTATCCTCATAATCTTTACTTCTTACCACCTCTTCTTCATTCATATCATCCGCCTCATTCATAATAAATGTTTGAACTACGTTGATTGGTTCTCGTGTGTGGGACACATTAATGTCAAGTATCTATATATTTGTATATAATTTCTTGTATGATATAGCATTATATAAAATCTCTTTGAGAATAAGGTACGTTTGTAGTGCCTTTCTTTCAGCTATTCTGTTTCTTCCCGGTATTAAGCTATCACAAATATTATCATCCCTATAATGGGCAAATATGAACTAGTACTCCTATTAAGACGAACACTTCTGACTACTTCCTTCCAGTAATTTCTGTCATGCTTTTCTGATTCCAATGTTGTCCATGAGTCGAACAATAAACAATGTTGGTGCACTTCTTGATCTTTGCCATAATTTGGATCACATAGTATAAGCTGATTTCTTGTTTACTTCTCCGTCCTTGACATTCAAATATTGTGTCTTTAATCTTTTGGTAGGTTCCCCAAAACATCTTCATTGAGAATATGCTCTTTGTACCTGACATTTATCGCTGTCCACAATAGACGAGTACACATTTTTATTGTTTCGACATAAAGGGATGCATTTTCAGATATCATTTCTTTTTTTGTCTTCCAGATGATATTCATTATTTCATGGCCATGGAAATATTAATTGAACAACAATTATCTTTCTCACGTTCTGGCATTGTTCATAGTAGTCGAGTGTACTTACCCTCTATATGTTTTGTTAATGCCCAACTGCTTGATCCGTCAAGGTTAGTTGGTTCGTTGTTTTTGTTTAGCGTCATATGGGTTATTTAATGCCTTCTGGAAGTGTCTTCTCACGAAAATTGACTTTCCCAGACGTCATAGCTCGGGACTCAGGGTTGGATATTGGGGATCTGGGAAACAGTGTGGAAAAGGATTGTTAATAAAGTTCCGACCAACCATAGGGAGGTCGAAGGATGATAATGACGATGATAATGATGAATACCAAAATCCAAATATAGAAATTCTTAATTAAATAATTATAATTAATTCAAGAGAATGACATTTATTTATGATTAAATTATAATTACCGTATAAGCATTAATTTCCCTTGATTTGTACCCTTACGGAATTATCAACCTTTTGTTGTACTATATATATATATATATATATATATATATATATATATATATATATACAAAAGAGACCTCACAAAAACAACTTAGCTCATGCACTAATCATACATAGAAATAAATTCAACCATAATTTTGATTTTAAAAATGCTACACTCATAAAAAAAGAAAATAATTCACTCAGGAGGAAAATTCTAGAGAGTGCCGTCATAGAAAATTACCCAAATATTAATCTACGCCCAGGTTTTTTCCCTATTTCATCTTTCTTAACAAAATTACTGCTCTTCCAAACAAACGTACACAACAATATCGTAAAATCAGTTATAATGACAATATTCTCCATATATATATATATATATATATATATATATATATATATATATATATACAGGGAAAAGGTTATAGTTGTTTCAGCGAGATAAAATGTATATTTTATAAAGAAGAGAAACCGCAAACGATTTCAGTTTAAATGTGGAATTTTTATTTTAAAATATATATTATACTCTATTTTCCATAATTCTGATACACGGGTTTCTGGTTTCATGACCTTCTTCTTCAAGGAAATGAACGTGTATCTACTCAGGCAGGCACGTGCCTTGAACGTCTATTGGAACTTACTACCTCAAGTGGAACTCGTACATACGATATCATCGCTAAAGATATTGGAAAAAACGTACGTTCCCTGTACCGTTCCATTAAGTACCTGATTCCTCCATCTATCTGCTACATTTACAAGAGCCAAACCAGACCGAAAATGGAGTACTGCTGCCATATATGGGAAGGCGCTGCTAAGTCTTCACTTTCCAGTTTCCATAGAGTTCAAAAGCGTCCCCGCGTCCTTGTGGGCGATGAATCATTTTCCACCCTACAGCCCTTTTCCCACAGGCGGAATGTGGTAAGATTTGCTACTCTATTGTTATTTCTAAGGAAAATGTTCAGACAACAGTTCTAAACTTTACGGCTAAGGACCGCCAAGACGCACACATTGAAACGAACCAGGCTCACTCCCTTCGTATTCCATTGGTGACATATACAATCCACTCAAACAGCTTCTTCCCACGAATAGATACTTTTTGGAACCGATTCCCAAGAATCAGTAAATCTTAACCTAATCAACTCTAAGGTTAATCGTTCACTTCCACACATATCCGCATAAAAACTTGTTAAATATAACGAAGTTGAAATAAAATATATAAATTATTTTTTATGCTTGGGTAAGGAATGTTAAATAATAGTCTAACAGACAATTATTTTTTAGAAACTTGTATTTCCCTTCTGACTTCCTCATTTTAACCATTGAGGCCAGATGGTAAGAAAACGAACGAAATCGTTTTTGATTGGTTGAAACTTGCGTGGGAATGTTAGACAGATAGAAAGAGATTTCAGAGAGTTACGTTTTACACGTCATACACAGTAGACGCGTTTATTTCGTGTCTCGGGGAAATTGCTGCCTAGAGCGGCCCCACTGGCTAGTTAAAAATGCACACGTTGACGCGTTTACTAAAATAGATAAGTTTAAAATCCCTTTTGTTGATGGTCTCTTCCATCTCCGCACTCCCAAAACATTTCGACACCCGACTGGGAGAAGACGAGCTAGAAAAGATGCAACGTTATTGAATAGACAATGTCAACGAAAACCTCCCCAGAACGAGGGGGCTATACAACACTCTGCCTCTTACACTGGAACCCTCTACCTCGACTGGCTCTTGTGACTTGTACAGAGTGAACATTGTTGTAAAAAAAAAATAATTTAATTTAATTCATGGTAAACCACCGTGGCTAAGGGGTAAGTTTCTTCTCGCCTGACTTTCAATAAAGATTCTATAAGAATATTAAGAGAAATACTTTACATCACGGATATAATATGATGTCCTCAGGTACATCTTTTTTAATTAAATCATTAAAATGAAGTGTGTGAAAGGGAAATTAAATGGAAAAAAAAAAAAATTATGACGTCTGAATAAGAAAATGAACTTGATGAAAATCCTCTCCAACTGTGCGTGCAGTTTGAACGTTTCTAGTTGAAGCCAGGTGTTAAATTCCATTTACAGTTCCATGTTTTTTTGAAACTTTTATATTTGTCATTATCTCATCTTTTGAATTACAATTCGTTGCTTTGCGAAAAGTGTTTAATTATCCGAGGCGCGTGAATATATGATACACTCACTGAAGAACTTGATTAACGGACTTTGAGGAATGTCATGTCCGAACCGAAAGGGTACTTTCAAAAACTAACGAAAAAAATTTAATTTTAAAATCTCCACTATTTCTTAATCATTTTACCCATAGCAAGGCAATAAAGCCACTAAGACACAATTTTTTACTGAGTGTGAAAGAACAATAAGAAAAAACGGAAACATTATTGTGATTTCCCAAACGTAGCTTAGATGTAGCACAAGGTCGAATGTAAGGGGCACCTAGTGAGGATCGGACTCACGACTCAGTCGTAATTGTTCTAGCAAGACAAGCTTGCTAACCATTACACCGCCTCCATGTGTCCAAAATGATTTTCTAAGCGTAGCTTAGATGTGGCACAAGGCCGAATGTATGGGGCACCCTGTGAGGATCGAACTCATTATTCACTCATAACTGTTTTAGTGAGACAAGCTAGCTAACCATTACACCACGCCGACCTGGAAAAAAATACGGAAACATTATTAAGGAGCGACAACAATTAAAAAAACAAAAAATTAAAAGAAATATTCAGATACATGGAAATATGTGCGTATAGATCCGCGAATGTAGTGGTTATAGGTGTGTGGCCGAGTGATTAGGGTTGCGACAAGGATATTTAAGTTGATCCAAGCTTTGGTAGCTCAACCATTGATGGCTTCTGAACAATTTCGTCTATACAATTTGCACACACAATCCTTGGGTTAATCTGAGTGTCATTGTCGGAACATTAACACGCGGATATTTCATCGCTTCAACGCTCAAGCCCACATTATTTTTCGTAACAGAATTTTATACTAATGAAAATATTGTTTTAGTTTGAAAATGATAATGTCTTCCTGTTATCCCTCACATTTTCAACAATGTCGTGCCGGGTTAGTATCTAGATGGGTGACCGCTTGGGAAGACCAGGGGCTATAAGGTTGGATGTGCGGGTGGTGTAATGAACAACGTCTCAGAAGTGGTAATCTCATCGTCGAGTTTTTCAGTCGGGTTACTTAGATTCACTTACGCACAAATACCTTTGGGAAAAGTATGAATCCACGTCTTCGCTCCCTAGCTATGGGTTAATTAGCTATACATGAATCGCTAAACCATTATTATCTAAAAAATTATTACAGTCTAAAAATATTTTCAATAACCTACAATGGGTTGATAAGGAGTAGAAAACAAATCATATTATTCTTCCATTGTATCGACCAATGTGTCACGATCTCAAGAATAATAATACTTTATCTTCATTATATGATAGATTTTAGAAGAATAACAGACGAACGCTATTTCTTAAATCAGTCGACATTCAGCAGAGAAAGTAAAAAATAACTTTAAATTGGTGAGTGAACACTGAAGTTTGCCAGCCTGTTCTGTTTGATCAATTCTCAAGCAGCAAACGTAAATGGTTTTACGAAGCTAATATATTTGTTTGAATCGCCTGCAGCCCACTATTAGTCCTGCTATGTTTTTACTTACGGCGATCAATTTGATCTACTGATTTGGAGTAAATGGGACTTTATTTTTTATTTTTTTAATATATATCCTTTCTAAGGGAAGCAACTCTTAAAGGATTCACCAGTGATTTGGGCAAAATAGCAGCATGGAAAATGGCGCCTCGTATCGTGCTGCTCAAAGACTCTGGAGACTCAGGTTATTATATGGTCTGCCCAGGGGTTGAGACGGTTTCATCTTGATAAGAACATAAGTAAACAATCAAATATTAGTAAATTTAACAAACGTTTTCGCTTATGTTGTTGTGATGTGGAGTCTGGCAAGACAACACATAACCCGACCGAATCAGTCGTGATAGTAGTATTCAATAGTCAGCTAGACAAGTCACTGTAATAGTATTATCTTCTTTTTTCTCTAGACGATTACCCAGGACTACTTATAAATGGATTAGTCTATTCATGATAGGAGAATAACTGACGATATTCAGTCACCCCCACCACCACCACCACGAGGGCGTCATGTGGCACAAGGCCTTTTTAACGTGGGCTCTCCGAACCCGTGGGCTCGGCCAAAAATATGCCCATTGAACCCGTATAAACGGATTCAGGGTCGGTTTACCTCCCCGAAAGAGACTCCGCCCATCGGCGTAGCCTCGTTCGGGTTCCTCCCCGCCCGACACTTACTACAACATCTCTCTTTTTGAGACTTACTTCCTATATAAATAATATTTTTTGCTCTTTGGGTTAAGATACAACACTTCTGTAAGCCGTTTTTTCTTTTTACTGGAGCGTATGGTTTCCAGAGCTAACTGAAACAGAGTTACATCGAAAACGTCATACAGATCTACCATCGGCTCCTCCTCTCGGATGCTCTTTTCGTCCGAGTACCTTTTTCTGTTTTGATTTAGATGTGTTTTATGTCCCCCATGTAAACCCAGGACTACGTATCATGAATGGATCAATCCATTCAGGATATTAAGGGGGGTACTTGGCTCTTACCACAATAATACTTGAGAAACACTCTTTACAGAATCTTTTTTTTTTTTTTTTTTTTTACTCTCTGTTCGTCTGGGTATAGCAATTTGGTAATTTGCTTAGTAAATATTAAACGCGTCCATAGAAGTTTAAACAGTACGCATTTACTTCGCTCGCTGTGGATGAAACGAAACATGTGATAATTTTTCTCTGCCTTATCTTAGACTTTGTGTAAAACAGTGGTTCCCAAAAGGTGCCTCAGAGGTGGGGCAGAAGGGGATAGCAGGTGAGGCAGAAGGGGATAACAGGTGCGGTAGAAGGGGATAACAGGTGAGGCGGAAGGGGATAACAGGTGAGGCGGAATGGGATAGCCGGTGAGGTGAAGGGATATAGCAGGTGAGGCGGAAGGGGATAACAGGTGCGGCAGAAGGGGATAGTAGGTGCGGCAGAAGTTGATAGCAGGTGAGGCGGAAGGGGATAACAGGTGAGGCGAACGGATATAGCAGGTGAGGCGGAAGGGGATAACAGGTGCGGTAGAAGGGGATAACAGGTGAGGCGGAAGGGGATAACAGATGCGGCAGGAGGGGATAGAAGGTGAGGCGAAGGGATATAAAATGTGAGGCGGAAGGGGATAACAGCTGCGGTTGAAGAGGATGACAGGTGAGGCGAAGGGATATAGCAGGTGAGACGGAAGGGGATAACAGGTGAGGCGGAAGGGGATAGCAGGTGCGGCAGAATGACTGAAATAAAAGCAAAGATTTAAAAACAGTTTCAAAAAATTCTATTATTAAGGATTACTTGTAATTGCATGCATGAGTCCCAGTATAAATAGTTATAAATAATTATTCACTGATTTTATCATTGTGATAAACGTATTAAGTATATAGTAAATGAGGTCCGTAAATTGAAGGAGAGAGTTATCAATGATATGTTCTGACATCAAATCCGCGGTCATCTCCTTTTAAGCTTCCCTGTGATTTCTTTTTTTTATTTATAAATATACTTCTTTTCACATACACTTTGTTGAGGCGCAAGCAAATTTCATTTCCGAAAATGTGGCCCAGAGAAAAAAGTATGGTAACCACTGGCTAAATCAATTAATTTTTTTCTATTATACAAGAAAACTATTACGAGGTATATATTTACTATTACACCCCAAAAGCTTCCAGTAATGTTAAAGAAGAAACTTCACATGAATTTTACAAGACAAATAAAAAAGCAAGGATAGGTTACGCAGAGAACATCTGAAAAAAAAGGAAAGGAATCTCTAAGCATCGAAAATTCACTAGAATCAATATATCCAAATAAAATAGACAAAATTCAGAAAAGCAAAATCTTGTGACCAAGTAAATGGTTAAAGGAATAATAAGTGTTGCAGATATATCATATATTAAACATTAAGTACAACAGTAGAGTACTACACGACTAGTGAGTGTGTGTTGGTTGACCCAGCGTTCAATCTATTCGACTGTTCCCCCAACGCCTTCTCTCCTAGTAATCTTGTAGTAGGCGGAAGACTCTTTAGAGGGAGGGTACCACAACACCCCAACCTCTTCAGCCTGACTCCGTATGGAGTCTTTCTTTTTATAATTACCATACAATACTTTTTATTCAACCAAATAAAGCCTTTTTCACAAAAAAAAAGAAAAGAAACAAAAAACAACCACTTTGAAAAAGCTATATACAGGAATTACGTTCACAATTTTTTTTTTTTTAGTTTTACGACAAATATTTTACATGTTAACAACAGTCCCTTTTTATTAAGGTCTCTGTTCATTATTCCTAAATAATGAAAAATTGGATAAGTTTAATGGTAAATTATAAGGTTAATAATTTCCAATAATCCAATGCGGATTGTGCTTTTCTAGTAATTCAAAGTTCATAAGTGACGAGATTTTTTTTACTCGTTCTTTTTCTTTTTCTGTATACATGGTATTAAATGAAAGCTATTCAATATCTTTTTCTTTTCGGGTTAATTTCTAAAGGTTCCGTAAATTTCCTTTTCCTTTTGGGCCTTCTGAGCTCTGGCACTGATTTCGGTACTGGAACCTCAAACATGTCAAAGACAATGTCCATAGTGTCATCATTTATGAGATCCCTGTCGACTACGCTTTCATACCGTTTTCTAATTTGGTTTACATGACGTTTGTGTATAAACTTCGGTCCCTGAACCATGTAAATCATGTTACCAATTTGTTTGTCTATTGTTCCTCTCTCCCAGTGAGCTTTATTATTCCCAAAATACACGAAAAAAAAAAAAAAAAAAAAACTTTTCACCGATCTTAAAGCACTTTTTAAGCACTTTATTCCTATTTCCCGCTTTCGTTTCACTCGGAAGGGATTTGTCAAATGCCAATTTTATTTTCCTGGCAAACATGACCTCCGCTTGCGTCTTGGCAGATGGGGCACTGCTATTAGGGGTTACACGATAGACCTGTAAAAACTGCTGTGTAGCCGAATCGGTGGGAGTACCTCTCGCCTTCCTCAGTGCTCTCTTCAAAGTGTCCACAAAACGCTCTGCCTGTCCATTACTTCTTGGGTGACATGGCGCCGTGGTAATATGTTCGATCAGGAATGACTGATGAAAATCTTTAAATTCACATGATGTGAACTGAGTGGCATTGTCTGTTACGATACAGTCAACAACTCCGAAACGGGAAAATAGCCCGAGCAAAACTTTACTGTCACCTCTGCGGTCGGCTTCTTACATTTCAATATTTCTGGCCACTTGGAATAACTGTCAACGACTACGAGGTAGTAAAAACCATCAAATGGGCCAGCAAAATCAATGTGTATCCGCGACCATGGATGGTCAGTTTTAGGCCAGGAATTGTATTTTATCAGGGGTGCACACCCTTTGCACGACCTTATAGTGTTTTCAATACCCTTGTCCATGTTGGTTCAGTAGAAGTAACTCCTCATCAGACTTTTCATTCTTGAAATTCCCGGATGGCCAACATGGAATTCCTTTAATGTCCTTTTCTGTAGTGTAGATGGGATTACTACTCTGTCTCCGTATATTAGTATGTCGTTACAAGGTGAGTAAAGTTCTGAGATATTTTGGTCTTTACTATTTAGTTTGTCCTTTACTTGCATGACAGATTTTAGTCGATGGGAGAAACTCCATTTTGTAGTTATAATTGAGGAGAATGGTTCCCCATCTTTGCAGTCTATTAACAGTATGTGTTGGCAGACCCTTTTTTGATCCAAAGATAGTAAGGAGTGGACGATGGTTTATCTGCAACAAAAAGTACCTTTCATGAATAAATCTATGAAATTTAGTCACCTCAAAAATGATTCCTAAGGTTTACTTTTCTATTTGCGAGTAACCCCTTTCAGCCCGTAATAGCGTCCTAGATGCATGGGCGATTGACTTTACCGATCCATTCTTTAACTTATGTAAAATGCACGTCCCGATGCCGTAGGAGCTAGCATCGCAGGCTACAATGACGTCAAGATTTGAATCGCAATGAGTCAAGAACAGATTTGATGTAAGGACTTCCTTTATTTTCTCAAATGTTTAAGGAGCGACCTTAACCCCGAACAGAAGTCTTAAAAATTTGAATACACCTTTGTGGGTGTTTATGCAAAGGAGGTTCGTGCATTACTCATCCACGGGTATTTGTAGATATGCGTCACTTATGTCAATCTTAGAAAAATATTTTCCTCCGCTGAACTTAGCGAATATATCCTCTGAACTTGGAAGAGGATAATGGTGATCCTTTAGAGCACTGTTCAGCCCCGTAGAGAAGTCAGCACATACACAAATTTCTTTACTCTATTTTTTTAAATATAAACTGTGGGAGATGCCCATTAATTATATTCAACCTTTGCCAGAACTTCCATTTCCTTAAGTCAATTCAACTCCTCGTCAATTTGATTTAACGAGGCAAATGGAACGTTACGCCTTTTCTTAAAAATTGGGTTTACGTCTGGCCTTATCTCAAACTTAGCAGACATTTTTGTGCATTTTCCTAGTCCTCTACTGAAAACGTTGGGAATATTTTTTAGTTTACCTTTCAAACTTTTCTGCTTCGTCAGTCAAATTTTTGACTTTTTGACATGAGTTTATAGGCATATCCCAAATTTGAAACAGTTCTAACGAATCAGTCCCGAACAAATTACCCGTATTCTTCATAATATACGCCTTTTGTTTTAAAGTTTTACCTTTGAATGACACGTTCGTGATAAGTTCGCCCATAAACTTAATAGGGTCGCCAGTTACACTTTTAGCTATTCGGTTCGTTCTTAACAAAGTCGGCTTACCCAGATTTTCCATGTTTGAAAATTAATTATGGATAAGTCTGAACTCGAATCAAGCTGTAGCCTTATATTTTTGTTAAATATTTGTACTTCAATATATTTCCTGATGTTACGATATCCTGGTTCATCAGACTTGGTAATTTTTACAAAACTTATTTTGTCTTCTTAATCCTGCAGTGGGAACTTTTGTGTCCCAATTTGTCGGAATTAAAACTTTTTTTATCTTTAAAAGGTCAATCCCTATACCAATGTCATTAACAACACTCGAAACATGGTTTTGACGGCAAAGTAACTTTATTATTTTTTGGTTGTCACTTTTTAAATTTTTTTTGTGTATTTTTTTTTTTAATGTGAGCCACGGTACTCTGGTCGATGTTTTTCGAATCCTCTCTGACGCTCACGATATGTTGGCAATCTTCGGCAACTTGCTGTAAAGTAACATCGGGCTCGTTTTCAAGCTTGTTGAGTACCCTACGACGTATTTCGCAGAAATCAAATCCTGGACGATAATCAGGCATTTAAAAGTATTGGCGCTTAACTCTGCCAATTTGAAGTCATCGCAGTGTTTACTGACTACACTCACGAAAGTAGTATAATCTTCGTCTTTGCGGGTGAAATTCATGCATTTCCAACGCTTGTGGAACAGTGATGTTTTTGGACTGAAGAGTTCTGTTAATGATTGAAATTTCAAGTCGCTGGTTTTCTTAGGCAAAATATAGTTAACAAACTTAGTATATTTTGCTGTGCCTAATTTCCTGAGGAGTAGGCAAACTTTTTTTATGGCCAGCCCAACTTGCACAATCAGTATTTTATAAGTCCTCGTAACGTTTACGAAGCGAAATGTAATTTCTTCAGGTGCAAACGTAAAGTTTTCAATAGCACTCCATATCGCATTTTGAGAGAACGCGTTTTCGCTGTCCACATTTTGGCTTTTGATGGCTATATTATACAAGTGTTTTTGCTCATTCTGTGTTTGAAAGAGCATTTCTTCCAGTTTCTCTCGTCTAACCTGAATTTCTAGGTGCAATTCCTCAAATATCTTCTGGTATTCTGCTTGTCCTCGTTAGAATTTCTCGTCTTTCTTGATATTTCTGTTCCAACAGTAGTTGTTCCTGTTGATGTTTCATCAACTCTATCATTGCACTTTTAAATTCATCCATTTTACTTAGGTACCTCCACGAAATCGCTAAAAAAAGAGCATAGCTTGATGAAAAAGACGCCAAACTCGCTGAAAACTAAATTTTATTGTCTAAATGCTTATGTTATTATTAAGAGGAAAGACCAAATTTTTTTTTTTAATTATTTTTAAAAATTTTCCTTTTTAGAACATTCTAAATTTTGATTAAAAAAAACCTTTTTTCTATTTGTATCAGCGGAACTAGTAAATAACATAGACAATTTTTAGCACGTTTTTTTGGTATGACAGACATTAATTTGAAAAATCGTGCAAAAATAGAAATAATTATCGGATGTTAATGAAACTTTCAGAAACTATTCACAAATGATCGAAATTATTATAAATATATTTTTTTTTAAATATTTATTACCCCACCCCCATAACTAATTTTTTGAAAACGATAAATTCGATCGCATCGGTTTTAGTGATTACAATAATTAAAAGCACTGGGCTTTGAGGAATGCAAATCATGTTTTTTTTTGTTTTTAATTGGATACGCAGTACCTGAAAATCAGCTCTGAATTGTAACATACAAAACTCAATAAAACAAAGATATTATTTAATTTCAAATGCTTTTAGTTGCTTTTAGTTGTTTTTATGAATATGGACAATATTTTCTGAAAGCAAAAAATTTTTTTCGATGAAAAATGAATTTTTAATACAATTATTTGTTATTTCATTAATTATAATAGATTTTACATTTAAGTTGTTAAAATATTATAAAATTAGTTAAAAAGCCGCATCGGCTTTCATAAGTGTCCTTATGAGATAGATCTTTTTTAGCGCGTTGTAAATTGTATCATTTTTGACTAATCAGAAGATACCCAGTAATTAA